ACTTGATATTAATAGTTATATCTTCATGAATTGAACCTTGCAAAATGATATCTTTTTACTTGGCAAAAACTGTTAATAATAGTATGCAGAGTGGGTTAAATGCAAAACTACAGTGACTTTTGGGATGGAATCACTAACCTTGAAAAGTTTTACAAGAATGCACTTTGAATGGATGAAGGTCTCTGTTTTATTTCACCCCTGAATTTATTTCTAAATAATTTTCCAGCAGGACATATCTCTTCACTCCTTCTATTCTCAGAGGGTTTTTAATATATCACTCCATTGTAATGCCTTTGTTCATAGTTGGCTGATTGCCATTTAAATATAGTGGGGAACTGTGTTTGTAAATTGAAATGTAGATATTGTACTAGAAGATTTCAATGCCAGTAGTATGAATTATTTGAGGCAATTGATCAAGTACATACATCTACTTCTAAGTGTGAACAAAAGTTCTGAGAAGGAATTTAGAGGAAAGAGATTTTATTCTAGTAAACAGTTTGCAAACTGGGAAGAAACAGTCCTCAGCTTAAACTGAAGGTACATTCCAGAGAACAAAGGCCGGGTTTGTTTGGCTTTTATAGAGGAAGTTCCTATGTAGGTTTTCAGTCAGGTCCTCTTGTGAAAACTTGCTTAGTTCTGATTGGTTGATGCAGTTGAGTTCTGATTGGTTGATGCAGGCCACAGCCTGTTGGTTGATTCAGGTAACATGGGCAAGAACAGTTAGTTATAAAAGTTCCAAAGTTAAGCAGATGTATGGCTTTTCTGGGAACTCACAGTATGTGTGTAGTCTCTAGTTAGCAAATGGCCACTTGGCTCTATTTTAAATTTAGGCCCAGTTTGCAATTCAAGATTCATCTTGAGAAACTGACTTCTTCAGGTTCACACAGCCATCTCCTTCTTATAGTATATGGTAAGGAAATGTAAATTAATTAATTTAAGGTCATGTAAATCTCATGAACATCAATACTTTTTCATAATTTAATAAAGAAGGAGCAGGGAAGAAAATGTGGGGATAATGCCTACATTGTCTTATCTTTTTCTTTACATCTTGAGGTTCTCTTTAAAGTAAGAAATAGGAAGTAGTGAGGAGGCAGTGGGAATAGTAAACTGTTTTGGGAGAAGCTGATGCATCTAAACTAAATCTTCACTTGGGCAGTGGCAATCACCAGTGACTTTCACAATCACCAGTTTCATGCAGATCTCCAGGGAGAGTTGCAAAACTCACAAAAAGAAATTAAAATTCCCTTCCTTGCTTGCCTCCTTCCTTCCTTCCTTCCTTCCTTCCTTCCTTCCTTCCTTCCGTCCTTCCTGCCTTCCTTCCTTCTCTTCATTCCTTCTGTCCCTTCCTCCCTCCCTTCCTCCTTTTCTCTTTCTCCTCCTTCGCTCCCTCCTTTTCTTCCTTTCCTCCCTGCCTCCTTGTTTTCCTCCCTCCTTTCTTTCCTTTCCTCTTCCTTCCTTCCTTTCTTTTTGCTTCCTTTCTTCTCCTTCTCCCCCTTCCCCCTTCTCTTCTTGCTATCTTGTTAATACTTCCTTTGCTGGCATTTTCTCAGTTTAACCTATTGTAGGGCTCATTTGGGGGAAAATTTGTCAGCTACGCCCTCACCTTTCTGGGTTAGTGCTTTTCCCTCATTTTTTTCATCCTCTTGGATCTAATTTTCTAAGGAGGAAAATCACTTGAATTAACAATGCGGCACTCCTCCCACCTCACTTTTGGGATTTAACAGGTCCCCCCATGGAGCTGCTAATTCCATGGAGTATGCATCTCACTTGGCACAGAAGATCCCTTAAATTGTGACCTATCAAATAATGAGCTTTCCTGTGATCAAGAATGTAAAATCTGCTAGAAAAATTAATATGTTCATCAAAGTTAACTATTATTGAAGTGTATTCTTAGCTGCATGATTGTCTTCTTGTACCACGATTTGCTGAATATAGACTACAGTTTTTCTTCATTTATCTCCTCTAGTGATTATCATCAACATTTGGTTTAAAGCATAGTTTTACAAATGTTTGCTTTTAAAATTCCTCAGTGTTTAAGGAGTTCTTACTGAATGGTGTTGCTAGACTTTTTGTAGCTGAGTAATCTTTTTTCCTTACTAACTCATATTGCTAAATTTGTTCACAAAAGTAGAAATATTGCTCATCTGTAATAAACATCTCTGAGAGTCACAACCATCACTAGAGCAGTGTACTTCCATGGAGATTATTCTCTTTTCAGTGTTGCTGACCTTTTGCTTCTTTATTAGTTGCTGTAGCAATGATCTGAGCTCTGCTTAATAGAGCTTTACAAAAATGAAGATGATCAATAAGCTTGTTAATGCTAATATTTATATAGATGGTTCCTAATAACACATATCAAAATAAAATTTGGTCATGTAAATGTATTCAACAGTGGAATTGTATATTTAAAAACACATTTAAACAGATGTTTATATAAGATGCAGGAGATTAAATGCATTCTTTGGCTTTTTAAAAAAAATTAGAATACCTTTGTGCAGACATAAAATTATAGAGACAGTTTGAAAGATCATTGTGAAATACACAATACAATCATTTTATAACAGCAAACTTTAGAGGTTGCAAGTACCATGGCTGATGATTACTAAAGCAAAGCCAAGTTAGAGAATTCTTTTAGTATCTATTCTAAGAACACTCATTCTAGGCCAACTTCTCCTCATATGCACCTGTACAACTACTAATAATTTCAGAGGAATTCTGAAACACTCAGGGGAAGAAAAGCTGGTAATCAGTGAAAATTCGCTAGGCAAAATAGTAGAACAACATGGATTATATTCATTTCTGAAGTTCATTTAACAATTTTAAATCTTTTACTTACTGATAGTAGTTAGACTACTATCTTTGGCATTATGGTGAAATCTCTATAAACACATTTGTGAGGAATTTGATTCTTTTTTCCTTCAGAATTAAATAATATTTGTTTTCAAATGATAGTCATGTATTTTTTGACACATTGTAGGCAAAGTACAAGAACATCTAAGGTATTAAGCTCTCTAGCATTGTCAGTGCAAAGGAGGACATCTGGCGAATGGCGAAATGATCAAGTCCATTATCATTGTCATTTGTTGAGATGCTAAAGTGCAGGTGTCAGGCTATTGCTTTCCAAGCATGGTCTCCCATCGTTTTTCTGGCTGATGGAGAATCAGCTGGGGAGGCAGTTTGCCAAAGGTTCACAGCAAGAAGATGGTAGCTCAGAGGTGGAGCTGGGTTTCTCTCTCTCTAGAACCTGGATTTCTCTCCTTCTCCTTGATGTTTGAGAACCTAAGTCTCCTCAATTCTGCTCCCATATTAATGCGCTCTAGAATTTATTAAAAACAAAACACTGCAGTAGTTGGACAAGGGGATGAAATGGATTGATGCAGAGGCTATCTTTAGTCAATGAAAAGGAAATGAACAATGTGTCAGTTTCAAGTGTCAAAATAACTTCTTTCAAAAACACAGGAAATTATCTGTCATCATAGATTTTTCATGTATCACTTTTTTCTAAATCAAAAAAAGACTTCTTAAATGCAAGTTGAAGTTTAAGCAAAAAAATTGGCTTCATGTGTTTTTAAAATTAGACTCACAAATTTAATTATATCCTTATGTTACTTGGTTTCAATGATCACATTTATTTTTTCTAAAATGAAAAGTCTTGTCTCTTATAGGAATACCACTAGTAGAACTTTTAGTAATTCTGTCATTTAAGAGCAATTTGCTGATCATCTACTATGTGTCAGGCATGATTGTAAACACTGGACATATGGCTGGGAACAACACAGGCAAACTTCTTCCCCTCCCGAAGCTCATGTCCTCTGGAGGGAATTGGGTAATAACTAGGAATTAAAATCAAGCAAGACAAGGGTCTAGAGAGTGAACAGGGAATGGGAAAGAACTGCTATTTTAGGTAAGGTTGTCACTCAACATCCTGGTCTCCCAGCTGGCTTCTTGCATTAGGTTTCTAATTGGCCTGTTCACTTTTATTCTTGCTTCTCTAGTGTCTATTCACACAGTGGCCACTCAGAATAAAAGTTAGATAATATTTCTGTCCTACCAAAACCCAGACACAACTTATTAGAATAAAATTCACAGTCCTTTTCTTAATCCTTGTCATCCCGGCATCACTCCCTCTCTCTTCCCTGCTTCTTTTCTTTTCATAGTGCTATTCTTTCTTGCTTTTCTGTTAAACATCTGTGTCATAGATGTATGAGAACATATATGACTCAAGAACAGGGATTTTGGCTCTTTCCTCACCATTGTATCTCCAGCACCTGGAATAGTGGGAACACATTGCAAGAGCCCAATAATTATTTTGCCATGAAAGAATGAATGCACATGCATTAAAAGTGGACTGTTATGGCTAGGAATGGTGGCTTGCCCCTGTAATCCAAGCACTTTGAGAGGCCGAGGTGGGTGGGTAACCTGAGGTCAGGAGTTCGAGACCAGCCTGGCCAACATGGTGAAACCCTGTCTATGTAAAAATACAAAAATTAGCCGGGCGTGGTGGCAGGCACCTGTAGTCCCACCTACTCAGGAGGCTGAGGCAGGAGAATTGCCTGAACCTTGGAGGTGATAGTTGCAGTGAGCCCAGATCACCCCACTGAACTCCAGCCCTGGGTGATAGAGTGAGACTCCATCTCAAAATAATAATAATAATAATAATAATAATAATAATAATAATTGTCCTGCTGAATAATGGAGGGAAAATAGTAGACAGAAAAGAGTCAAATGCTTCAGAGATCCTAAAAACAGATCCCATGTGCTAGTTTCCATTATCCTAATCATATTGCTGTCACCTGCCATAACTATTCCTAGCTGCAGCCTCATCTCATTTTCCTTTCTCCATCTTTGCTTATACCACAGAGAGCCTTTCCCAATGAATATAAGTGCATACTGTGAAGCTGCATATTCTGGCTGTGAAATTTTGGTGATTCCAATTCCAATTCCAAAAATACTTAAAATGTGTTGATTTATGATCATGTTTTTTCTTCTTTAAACTGTAGCATCACCAAATGCCCCAAAACTTGGACCCATGGAACTGGCCGTCATTATTACTGTGCCTGTTTGCCTCCTGTCAATAGCTGTGATGCTGACAATATGGGCATGCCAGGGTCGACAGTGCTCCTACAGGAAGAAAAAGAGACCGAATGTGGAGGAACCATTTTCTGAGTGCAATCTGGTAAATGCTGGAAAAACCCTAAAAGATCTGATTTATGATGTGACTGCCTCTGGATCTGGCTCTGGTATGTGATCGTTGTCCATTGTTTCATAAGAAAACTCTTTATTTAAAAGTAAATAAAAATGTTTTAACAAAAATGGCCCAGATATTATGAATTTTATCTTGAAAGGATACATGTTGAGCTCTGGTATAGGAACTCCTTTTAGTATTTGATGAAGAGAAAAACCATTGTGGCATATAGAATTAAGTCTTCTCAGTTGCTTTTTGTAGCTTTAGGTGTTCAGATTCTTATGTTCACTTTCCTTCAGAATTTATTTCTGAGGTAAGAAAGCAGTTTCCCTCCCTACCTCCCCCCATTATGATTACTAACAATCACTGTTGCTTTCTTGGTAATGTTTTATGGACACAAAAAAGTTAGGGTTGTAGTATTTAAGGTGTTGAGTTCTGAGGGAAATATGTTAGTTATACAAAGTGTGTTCTTTGATCACTTTTGCTTATGGTTATGAAGATTTTCAGAATGTGTAGACATCCCCTGGGATGTATGTGAAGTTAACAGGGAACTCCTCTGTTCTTAAAGCAAAGAAACAGAAGATTAAAAAGAGCAGCTCAGCATTGCTGTGCTAGCTTTTGCTGGTTATGGTGACATGATGTTCATAACTCTCTTCCTCTTTAATGGAACTCCAGAATCCCTGGTAAAGCATTCAGAGTACCAGGCTGTATTATAGTATTATAGCCTAAATGAGCCTTTCTCACAACACAATGCATTTGAAGGCTTTTTTTTGGGGCAGGAGGTGGGGTGAGTGGGTGGTAGTGGTGGTAGGGCAGTTTTCCCCAGAATAACAAACTTCCTAAAATGGTAGGGGATTCCCTACTTTCATATATGTATCCACAAATCCTACCAGCTTGTGGTTTACAGAAATATGAACAAGAGTGACCATAGGTGAGCCACTTCAGAAGACCCTGCATCTCTTCTTGTTTTGGAAGAATCATTAATATTATAGCCCAACATTTTGAAGAACTCCTTTGCCAATGTCTTTCAGGAAAATCTAGGCAGGCACAATTAACAGATGTAGGCAACAGAGGGGTGATAACATCTCTATGTGCATCCATAGTTAGCATGAAGCAGCTTTGGATTCATCAGAAAAGAAAAGCATAATTGAACCCAGATACTTTGCTCCTTCTGGGACAAAATCACCTGCCCTCCCACTGATGAAGTCTAAATGTTTACACCCTCACTGTACACATTAGGTACCATATTTCAAAGCAAGAACAGTAGTAAGAAAACCCCAAAACTGCAAAGTTTTAAAAACTGGAATCCAAATTAAATTAAATTATTGGCTAGAAGACTGCCTTTCCTCCCTCCTTTCTTCCCTTCCCCCTTCTTCCTTCCTCCCCTCCCCCCACTTTCTGCCTGTAGGGTTTTGTGACTAATTGTTGAGATCCATAACAGCAGATTTATAGTCTGCCCTTATTTAGCCTGTGCTTATATGTTCATATGGGAACATATGAATGAACATTGACTCATTTTAGGTGTGTGGACCAAAGTTCCCACAAGCTACAGGTTCATTGCTATGAGGGTTCCCTAGCTGTCTGAGTACAAAAACAGTAACTAAATGTGACTTTTCAGAATAAATGTAGACTGTAACCTCTTTAACTATTTTTCCTTTGATTTGAAGAGTAATAAATATCTATTGTGGAAATTAAGAAAATGTAGAAAATTAGAGTGAAGACTATCATAACTCACCCTCACTAAGAGAAATAACCATCATAACATTTAGCATATTTCCTTTTGAGTCTTATTTTCTGTGCATATTTTGAATAGCTAGGTACACTTATTTATAAGAATAAAATGTACCATGCTGTTTTCATTCAATAGTATGGCAAAAGTATTTTTTATGTTATTAAATACCTTTTCATAAGCATCACCATTATTATTGGCTCTAAGCCATGTGATATGTAATATGTGCGTGTAATATGCCAGATGTGCTAGATGCTTAACTTGCTTATTAATTCTCATATTATCTCTATGAGATGATTAATATTTATTGTTCCCAGTTTTTCACATGAAGAAGCTGAAGCTCAGACAGGTGAAATAGCTTGCCCATCATTACCAACCAGGTGGCAGAGCTGAAATTTGAACCCATGTCTTTCTTATCTGTGCTCTTAATCTCTGTACTTTATTTCACAATTATTCCATTATCTGATACTTTTCCTTACTTTTTCCTGTTAATAATAATAAGGTATTAAACATCTTGACATAAATTTTTCTACATTTTGCATTAAGTATTTGCAACAGAATTCTAGAGGTAGAGTTAGGAGTTCAAGGATTATAAGCATTGTACATACACTCCAGCTATATTTTCTTTGAAAACTTTTTTTGTTTCACAGAAAATTTTCATTTGATTATCTTCTTTGACTATATCTTGCTTTTAGTACAATATCATTATCTCAGTTGATCATTGCATTTGATTCTTCACTTTCCAATTATAGCTTGGTTTTGAAAAAATTCACAAAGAATTATTTTGCTCTTCCAGTCATACCAGGAACCATACATTTTATTTTAGAGGCTAACACATTTTATTTTTTTGCTTTTACTCTTGTGTACTTAGTAACCTGACTGACTTTGATGGACAAATGAAGGAGATTTGCAGCAATTCTTGGAAATCAGATATCTGCAGCAGCAGGATATGTTTAAAAAATGTTTACTTGTGAATATGAGAAGACAAATTCATATTCATAATTTGAAGTATTTTTTCAGCATGCTCTGACATTAAATAAGTTTGTTATAATGGTACTTATATTTTCAAAATAGATAAAATCATTAAAGAACTTAAATGTTTGCTTTTTTATCTAAAAACAGTGATTATTATGAGAGTCCTTTTCTGGCATTTGTGTTTGATCATCAATTCGATGTTTTCTTTGGTTAGGTCTACCTCTGTTGGTTCAAAGGACAATTGCAAGGACGATTGTACTTCAGGAAATAGTAGGAAAAGGTAGATTTGGTGAGGTGTGGCATGGAAGATGGTGTGGGGAAGATGTGGCTGTGAAAATATTCTCCTCCAGAGATGAAAGATCTTGGTTTCGTGAGGCAGAAATTTACCAGACGGTCATGCTACGACATGAAAACATCCTTGGTTTCATTGCTGCAGACAACAAAGGTATTTTCAATGTAATTGGGTTCAGCAAGTAAAAAAATGTTATCTATTATCAGATGAGAAAAAATAAATTCATCTTTTTTAATAAAAAGTCTAAAAAATTAGACTTTCTATATGAAAGTCTAATTTATATAAAATCATTTCCTCTTTCTGGTAGATAAATGTATATAACCATACAATGAAGCAGGGCAAATGAGTGACAGAAAATCATAATGTCCAGATAGCCAGGGCAGTGCTTAAAATGTTTGCTGACTGTTTGGTGCACAAACCAATTAATCAGAACAGAAGCCTCAACTGGAACAGAATCCTGGATAACTCTGCCATGCTGTGTTTTATTCCTTTAGTTGCTGCTTGGTAATGAAGAGATATGGAGGCATCTGGGTGTCTCCAGGGCAAAGGAGTATCATTGAGAGCTTGGGAGCTTTTTTTTTTTTGTTGTTTGTTTGTTTGTTTGTTGAGACAGAGCCTTCCTGTGCCACCCAGGCTGGAGTGCAGTGGTGCAATCTTGGCTTACTGCAACCTCCGCCTCTTGGGTTCAAGCAATTCTCCTGCCTCAGCCTCCCAAGTAGCTGGGACTACAGGCACCTGCCCGTATGCCTGGCTAACTTTTGTCATTTTAGTAGAGACGGGATTTCATTATGTTGGCCAGGCTGGTCTTAAACTCCTGAGCTCAAGTGATCTCCCCACCTTGGCATCCCAAAGTGCTGGGATTACAGGCTTGAGCCACCACTCCTGGCCTGGGAGCTTTGAATAGCAGCTGTTTAACAACAAGGATGGAAATATTTCAATATTTTAGTAACCAATACAGACATACCAATGAATACTAGCTGAATGCTCAACTTTGCTAGTGCTATATTTTTCATTTGTATAACAGGCTTCATCTAAATTTTCTGATTTTCTCTTTTGATTGTATCAAAATCTCTTTTGATTGGTGGTAAGCAAGACAATTTTAGTGAAATTTTTTATTAATGTTACTTTGAGCACAGTTTGTATCTTGAGGCCAACATTAACAGTACTAAGCAGTGTTTGTTATTTTTTGAGTTTCATGGAGCAAGTCAGAGCATCAGCTTTCTGATATTTAAAATAAGTACTCATAAAATATTGTACCTATGCTTATATAAGCACAGATTGGATACAGAGTTTGCAGATTATCTATGCTTTTTCTCTTCTTTTTACAAAATTCACTTAACTGTTCATTAGTGCCCCTAATAGGTAACAAAAGTGAGGAAAACTTGATTTAGTCAACTTTTAAACTTTAATTCCAGTTAGTAATACTCAGGAAACACTTTGGTGGAGTTGAGATTGTAACCACAATCTAAAAAAGGGTTATACAAATTATCTATGGATGTCAGGGTTCCAGCAAAGCCTGTGAAAATTAAGAACCTATAGTTAATTTTATCTAATATAAAATTAATTATAAAAGTATTCATTATTAGTTGTATGAAAAGAGAGGCTTAGCATTTAGCATACATTTTGGCCATAATTATGTTTGTTGATGATTTGTCATTTCTGATTTTGCTAAGGAGAAAAGTGGTAAAGGCAAGATGGCTAACAAAAAAAGTTTTTTCCAAATTTGTAACTACATGTACTTTGAAACTATATCCAGATTATTGAGGATGAGACAGTTCTCATTTAGCCATTAAGAATGTTTTCTTTTCTCTCCTAATCTTGAGCTGAACAGCCTACTGGTTGGGTTGATCAGCAATGCTGTCAAAACAGTTATCATTGTACATGGATCATCGTCATGGGCTAATTTAACATGATCCTTATTGAATTATAATAGAATATGCATTGGCCAGGCATGGTGGCTCACACCTGTAATCCCAGCACTTTGGGAGTCCAAGGCTGGGCGTGGTGGTGAGTGCCTGTAATCCCCACTACTCAGGAAGCTGAGACAAGAGAATTGCTTGAACCTGGGAAGTGGAGGTTGTGGTAAGCCGAGATTACACTACTCCAGCTTAAGCGACAGAGTAACACATCGTCTCAAAAAATAAAAATAAAATAATAATAATAATAATATGCACAAGAGAGATTATCCTGGGTTTTCTCTTCCTGAGTTTAACTGGTCTACCTCTATCATCTTCTAACTTGTCAGTGGCTTTTTGCATGATTCCAAATGATCTCTAACAACACTTTCATTTTTTAATTCCTTTACCTTTTGCAACATTTACAGTTTCACTCTTTAGTTAACTGTCAGACAAAAGCATTGATATGAGAGGGCAAGATAGCGACTGGTGTCAATCAGGGAGAGAGGTGTGAGAACGTGTTATTTTTATATGTTGTATGTTAAGGAGCTTTACCATGTTATGTTGACTTGTAAATTCCTAGGAAATTTTATCACTACCCAGATTTGGAAATTAAATATTTGGAATAATAAAGAGCTCTTGTACAAAGCATCTGGCCAGATAGGTACTTAGCAAATGTTCATTATAGATCTTTTCCCTGATTGTCAGTACTGGTCAGGACTGCCCAGGGTTACTGTAGACATATTATTTCCAAAGCTAAAACTCACTCTACTAATATGTAGAAAAGTTTTAGGGTAATTTCTAAGTCTTTTATAAGCTGGATTAGGTTTTGGCTAAATGAGGTAAATTATTTGAAAATGTCTAGTGAGTGTGTTTGGCTCTTACTATAAGCATTTGGGGAAAATAATCAACTTTACATTTTGAAAGGTGAATAACATCAACATTGTTAGAATGTTAGAGCTTTTATGGTAGAAATAATATAGAAATAACCCTTTGCATAAGTTTGATGTATTTCTGATGTTTATTGGTACAAGTTCTCTTAAAAGCTTAGAGTAATTTATAACACAACACTGAATCTAAATCCACCTCTCAGTAGTTTCTCCTATGATGTGGTTACTATTGCCATAAGGTGTTGATATAGAGGAAATAAGAAAGGAGTTGTCCAGTTGTTAGAATCAGTCACAACCTCACAAACTTTATATTTTTATGGTGGGGCACATATCAGTATCGTCAGATATTGCTTGAGAATTTTTTCTTTACTAACTTGGACTGCAAGCATTACCACTGAGGCAATTAACTTTGCTGTGCTAATAACACAGATTAATTTAAACACTAATATTTGTTAAAAGTTTTTGGCTTCTTTCTCAAAAAATTGTATTTTCTTGTTAGATAATGGAACTTGGACTCAACTTTGGCTGGTATCTGAATATCATGAACAGGGTTCCTTATATGACTATTTGAATAGAAACATAGTGACTGTGGCTGGAATGATCAAGCTGGCGCTCTCAATTGCTAGTGGTCTGGCACACCTGCATATGGAGATTGTTGGTACACAAGGTATGTATTTCCTTTTCATTTCTTTCCACTTTGAATATTAGGATAGAAGTACTTAGTTATATTTTAGTTTATTAGAAATAATTATCAAATGTAAAAAGGCTGGGCACGGTGGTGTATATCTGTCATCCCAGCATTTTGGTAGGCTTAGGTGGGAGGATCACTTGAGGCCAGGAATTTGAGACCAGCCTGGGCAACACAGTGAGATCTCCATCTCTGAAAAAAAAAATCTGGTTGTGGTGGCATGTGCCTTTAGTCCCACATACTTGGGAGGCTGAGGTGGGAGGATAACTTGAGCCTGGAAGGTCCAGGCTGCAGTGAGTTATGACTGCACCACTGAACTCTAGTTTAGGTGACAGAGCGAGATCCTATTAAAAAAATAATAAAGTGAAGAAATGCTCACTAAGGGTAATTTAAAAGCTAAAGGTTTTGTCATAATATAGCCAACTCTCATCAGTATACTATTTTGTATCTTATCCATAATAATATTAAAAAAAATTATTTCTAGTGGTTCTATCTTTGCTATTTAGCATATGTACCTGGGAGATCTTGCTTTAGTGGCAAATGTCCTATATCCGGAGAACACAAATAATTTAAATGTTTCCCTTTGATAATTAAAAAAGTAATTGGAAAGTGTAATGTGATTTTGAAAAACAAATTTGTATATCATGTACTTAAAGACCAAATAGTACCTACTACCTTTTCTGTTTATTGAGTTAAGAAAGTTGGCTCTAGAGTCAATTAATTTAGACAGGGCAGTGATTCTCACATTTGAACTCATGATCCCTTTACACTCTTAAAAGTTTTGAGGACTACAAAGGTTTTTGTGTATGTAGCTTATATCTATTACTGTTACAATATTAGAAATTAAAATTGAGGAGTTTAAAAGTACTTAATTTTCTTAAAATAACCAATTAAATGTTAACATAAATGACATATTTTAAATATAACAACATTTTTTTCCAATAGACAAACTGATCTAATGAAAATAGTGACTTTGTTTTACAATGTTGCAAATCCCTTTAATGTCTGGATTTTTATTTCATCTGTTTTCATATGTTGTTTTGATTGAAATATGTGAAGAAAAGGTGATGTCACACAGATGCATAGTTAGAAAAGAGTTGCAAGGACCTTGGGGATCTTTTGGCCACAATTGAGAACTGCTGGTGTAGGGTAGTAGAAGTTTTCAGACTTATTTTGTGAAATAATATTTGCCATGTTCTTCTGAGGACATAGCAGTACTAATTATTTCTTCATCTATTAAAAATACTTATTCGTGATCTAGTCTTCTAGTGCTCTAACCAATAGAGGCATGGTGATGAACAAAACAGTTATTGCCCTCATTAGGTTTACAGTTTAGTTGGGAGAGACAGATTATTCAGCATGTACATAAATAAACAAGATAACTTAGATAGTGACAAGAGTTTTTAAGAAGACTCTTTTTGAATTAGCACACTTTGAGCTAAGTCTTCATGATGATTTCTCTTGGACAGACTCAGTCTTCAGTAAAGAAAAAAATACATATGTTCTTCTTATGCTTCATAGGTAAACCTGCTATTGCTCATCGAGACATAAAATCAAAGAATATCTTAGTGAAAAAATGTGAAACTTGTGCCATCGCAGACTTAGGGTTGGCTGTGAAGCATGATTCAATACTGAACACTATTGACATACCTCAGAATCCTAAAGTGGGAACCAAGAGGTAAGATGACTGACTTGGGTAGCATAGTAAGATGTGAGAGTGCCCAATAAGCATGAATGTCTTCATGTGTGTGGAGGAGGCTCAGGTCCAGATGGGAAACCACTGGGCCCAAGAAATTCAGAAGTTTTCTCTGGGTCACTGAGAAGTTAGTGGGCACAATGGTTGCAAAGCAAGGAGAGTTGGCATTTTGGGCCACATGGATTGCAGCCATTTAGGTACAGAGTCCAGTGGAGAGAAATGGTGGAAGAGATAGTGATGTATTATTTTTAGTATGCCATTTTCTGAGAATGCATTTTCCTACAGATAAGAAGAAAAGTCAGCAGTATGTAGCTCCTCCAAAGCCTTTATTATCTCAAACATGAACTGAAAATTAGGGCTAGTTCTACATATTTAGGTTCTATACAACAGACATAGAATCAGTATGTTGAAATAGATAGGTAGAATCTATTAGTGATCTAGTCTGTGTCTTAATAGATAGATGCAGAATCAATATGTTGAAATAGATATATAGAATATATATCTAATAATGAATTTACTTATGTGCTACTATATTCCCTTACTCTTTAAACATATTATGTAACAATTTATGTATTATCATACTTTTACTTATCATTAACTCTGTCAAATTGATATGAATTAAGATAATATGAGTTTGGATACAATTCCCACTTTCAAGGAACAGAATCTCTGAAGATTAAGAATGAGCATGGTCCGAGCGCGGTGGCTCACACCTGTAATCCCAGCACTTTGGGAGGCCGAGGCGGGTGGATCACGAGGTCAAGAGATCGAGACCATCCTGGTCAACGTGGTGAAACCCCGTCTCTACTAAAAATACAAAAAATTAGCTGGGCATGGTGGCGCATGCCTGTAATCCCAGCTACTCAGGAAGCTGAGGCAGGAGAATTGCCTGAACCCAGGAGGCGGAGGTTGCAGTGAGCCGAGATCGTACCATTGCGCTCCAGCCTGGGTAACAAGAGCAAAACTCCGTCTCAAAAAAAAAAAAAAGAATGAGCATGACACACATGTGTCAGGTCAGGTCCATTAGGAATGGGATTTCTAGTGTTTCTCTTGCTGTAGCCAGCCTGTGGCCATATGGACAGCCTACTTCCAATTCTTTTTACTTGAATTTCAGGCTCTACATCACTTTGGCAAAATTCCAGGGTTCTTGACCTTGAAATAAGCAGCAACCAAAATATTTTCTTGGAGTTGTTAGAGGCCCTTGAGAGTAGAGAAATTCTAAGCTGCTATAGCTGGCCTTCAAGCCATATTTGAGATTCCAGGACAGTGCCTGTGAGTGCCTCTCATGATTTGCTGGAGACTTTGAGGCCCCAGGAACACTTGCAGGCAGTTTATTCACACTGGTCAGCCCCAAGAGACTTCTCTTCTTTTCCCTGTACAAGGAAAGCCTTAGCCTTACCTTGCCCATCTGACCATCCCCACATCAGGAACCTTCAGGGAAGCCTTGGATGCTAGATTCCTTCAAAGGATTTAACACTCTTGCAAGAACTTGGAAGGGTATTGCATTCTTACTTCACTATTCTGGGAAATCTTCAAAATCTCCCTACTACAGTAAGGCTCAAGTCCATAGACTATAGATTTCTCACACTGACTCTTGTTCCAACATGGCTATAATTTTTTTGAGTCAATGTAAAATAAAATTGTTCACTGTGAGAAAGTATGGGTGGAGTGCTGCTGAGCACAGTTGGAGGCTTGGGCCCACCCAGATGAATAAAACACACTCTGCCCTCAGGGACCTTTCCATGGCAACAAACTACTGGTGGCAACTGAGTGCCATCTCTCCTGTTGAGTGCTTTGCTCATTGAGTGTCCCTCCAACTCACACTTTCCAAGCAGTAGGCTCCTGGCACACCTGCTTTAACAATGAGTGGAATGATCTCTAGTTCTATTTAAAATGTTTTTTAGGCTGAGCTCAGTGGCTTATGCCTGTAATCCCAGCACTTTGGGAGGCCGAGGCGGGTGGATCATGAAGTCAGGAGATCGTGACTATCCTGGCCAACATGGTGAAACCCCATCTCTACTAAAATACAAAAATTAGCTGGGCATTCTGGTTTGTGCCTATAGTCCTAGCTACTCGAGAGGCTGAGGCAGGAGAATCTATTGAACCTGGGAGGCAGAGGTTGCAGTGAGCTAAGACCGTGCCACTGCACTCCAGCCTGGCAACAGAGTGAGAATCCATCTCAAAAAAAAAAAAGTTTTTAAAAATTGATGGTTGAGTCAATAATGTCTTTAATTTTATTTATTCTATTATAGTGCCTCAGATAGTTCTCATAGTTATTCTATTATAGTGCCTCAGATAAGATAGTTCATTCAGATAGGCCTGAACAATCTTAATTTCTTAAGATTGTTTTACTGAACTGCTATAAAGTCATACACAGAATCTGAAACGTGCATGTTTTTGAAGGTATATGGCTCCTGAAATGCTTGATGATACAATGAATGTGAATATCTTTGAGTCCTTCAAACGAGCTGACATCTATTCTGTTGGTCTGGTTTACTGGGAAATAGCCCGAAGGTGTTCAGTCAGAGGTAAAATTTTGGAAATATCCTTTGTGTTCATCTTTCCTTGATACTCTGAATACAAGATGTAATATTTTATCTTGTTTCCCCAAGCACTATATTGAATTTTTTTTTTTTTTTTTTTAGTATTTAAGAGAATACCTTTTAGTGATATCTTTCCAGAGGCAAATATGGGACATTTTGCATATAATAGAGATTTTATATTGTGATTACTGCCTAGGGGGGTGACAGTTCTCCTGATAATTTTTGTTTCCATATACTTTATGAAGCGCTTGAAAATTATTTGAGTTTGTAAACAGTTAGCTGGCATTCCTAACTTATATCCAAAAGAAGTCAAATAATTTGCTTAGGCCACAGGACTTGAAGGGTTCAGTTTCTTAAGTTTTTCTTTTCTTCCCTGTGATATGAGAAATGTTGTGGGGTTGAAGAAAGGTGTGGAAAGAAGTAAGCAAAGACAAACTTCCTGCCTTTACTGCTCCCAGCAGATGAGAACTGAATTATGTGGCCTGGCATGGTGGCTCAATGCCTGTAATCCCAGCACTTTGGGAGGCCAAAGTGGGTGGATCACTTGAGGTTGGGAGTTTGAGACCAGCCTGACCAACATGGAGAAACCCTGTCTCTACTAAAAATACAAAATTAGCTGGGTGTAGTGGCACATGCCTGTAATCCCAGCTGAGACTGTGCAGGAGAATTGCTTGAACTTGGGAGGCGGAAGTTGTGGTGAGCCAAGATCACACCATTGCACTCCAGCCTCACCAACAAGAGCTAACTCCACGTCAAAAAAAAAAAAAAAAAAAAAAAAAAAAAATGGAAAAAACTTAATAATGAGAAAAATTAGGAAAGGGGGAACGCTGTAAATATGTCTGATGAAACTGTTGCTTCAATGAAGAAAAAGTTAAATGCTGGCAGAAAATGGTTTAGTTTTTACTTTCAAGTGGGACAGACTTAGGATTGAGCATTGGTTTAGCAGTTGCTTGAATGTCCAACTTTAGGCAAGTTGCTTAGTTAACTTTCCTCATCTGTAAAATGAAGGTAATACAAAAACTGAACTTGTGGGCTTTAAGGATTTAATGAATTAATTCATGTGAAGCTTTTAGTACAGAGCTTATTCACAGTAAACATTCAATTAAAGAGCTGTTATTATTAAACTATTGTCATTTTTTGCACTTTGTATTGATGTTATTTGCATTACATTAATCTGATTTTTTAAAAAACCTTGCAGATTTTATGAAAAGCTTCTAAGGTTAAAATTATGTCTGAATGAACAAACATACAACTTTTTCTCTTTTATTTATAGATGATATTGTAAAACATTCAGGGACCTAAAACTGTTTAGAAATGCAATAGAATTATAGTGGTGCTGAACATGGACACTAGGGTTTGCATTCCAGATTTGCCACTTACTAGCTCTCTGTCTCTGAACAAATTTATAACATTGTGCCGCAGTTTCCTCATCTATAAAATAGAAATAATATTGTACCTTCTTTAGTCAGTAGTTTTGAGGACTGATTAGTTAAAACCCATAAAGGCCTTAGGGCAATGCATGGCAAAAAGCAAGATTTCAAACATGTTAATTATTTTTTGTAAAAATTTCATATCGATATTAGTCTAGATTTGCTTTTAGATTTTTGTCTTTAACTTTTCTTCAACTGTAAAAACAGTAATTTAGCAGACATGAATTAGAGTTAGTTTTCTAGTATTATGGCAAGTCTTACATATTTTAAATTAAAAGCACTGCAGTTAATTAAAAAGATTTTATAAGGAATTTCTTGGAATTTAACCAGCATTCTGATAATTAAGGTCGTCTTTGAGACTCTTTAAATATTAATCGTCATGTTGAACTATCCATCTTCAACTATGTTTGGATTCTTCTCCAGAACGTTATCAGGTTCAGTTGTTCTAAAGTCTAAATGTAAGAAATCCAGTGTTAAAAAGATTGCCTTAAAGTTTTCAAAGAGAGAAAGATGTTTTGTTTTAAAAAAGTTATCTGATGGGAAAATATAGGTACTTTATTCATGAAACAATGAAGCTGTGCTACAAATTTCATAATCAGAAGAAAGTAGGCATTGCTTTTAAATTGTATAATGGCATTTTAATTGAATAAAAATCTACATAATTTCAATAATAGAAAAACAAAATTTATTTTATATAATTAAATTACAGAAATGTTATATATTATATAATTAGGAAATTGTTTTATAATTTATATACTCAAAATTTATAGTTATGAAACATTTTATAAAATTTTATAACTTTATATAACTATTCAACTGGGTGCTTTAAACTTATATCCTTGATTTTATAGTGATACATTATTTTAATAAACTTGACTTTCCAGTTCCCTGGGGTGTCACTTGTGCCTAGAAAACTTAATTGGTAATATTTGAAATAGACATATTTATTATTTGCACGTGGAAATGTATTATGCAAATTTCTTACAGGAATTGTTGAGGAGTACCAATTGCCTTATTATGACATGGTGCCTTCAGATCCCTCTATAGAGGAAATGAGAAAGGTTGTCTGTGACCAGAAGTTTCGACCAAGTATCCCAAACCAGTGGCAAAGTTGTGAAGTAAGGCTAATATGTTTTTAATGTATATTTTTCTTATTATATTTTTTGAGGTGAGTATCAGAGAGAATTTTCAGAGACCAATATAGCTTTTCTTTCTTAGTGTAAGCATCCAATTCATTCCATATATGTAGACATGTGTTATTATAAGTCTTCAGAAGGATTTTTTTCCCTTTATGCATGCATAATGCTGGGTTATGTGACAGTAACAAATTCTGAAATCTCAGTGACTTTCCACAAGACTTTATTTTTTGCTTACAGAAAGTGCTCTGCAGGTTAGGCAACTCTCCATGGCATCTGTTCTCACTGCAGTGACTCAGTAATAACTCTGATTTTGATCCTTGGACACATAGTTTCCCGATCTCTAGGTCAGGTGAAGAGAAAAGCTGGAGGATCACACACTGGCTCTTTAATGCTGGCATCAGGTGACACACATCTCTTCCACTCATGGCTCCTACCATAACTTGTCACATGGTCCCACCAAACTGTAAGGGGCTAGGAACTGTGGGGAACACAGGTAGACTCAGTGGGTAATGTCTCTGCCAAACAGAATATTACAATTCCACTCATCTTTATATTCAATAAGTTATACCTCATCTCAACCTGCTGGAGTTTGAACTTATTCTCTCTTATTAGAAAAGCTCCCTCACAGCAGAGAACATTGTTATTTATCTTGTCATCTCCAGCAAACCAGTATTTAACCAGAACATACTAGACAAACAGTAAATGATTATTGCAGTGCTTCTTATGCCTTATGTGAATATATTTTTTCTACCTTTTACAAGGAAAAAGAGTAGAAGGTGGGGAAAAGACTGTAAACCATCTAACTAGTTCCAGAACCATTCTGATACTTTTCTCCCTCATTTCAGTTATTGCTGTCTATTTTTTGCCATATTTTAATGTAAAGAATGAGGTTTTTTTAGGTGATGTCTTTTAGTCTGGCTTTTAGGGAATGTTTTATATAGTTGCATTTTTGCCTCATTTTTTCTGTTCCTTCATGTTCCTCAATCCTTTTTCTAATTTCTAATTCAAAACACAAGATTTGCATTTTGTTATATTTTGTGTAGATATCTTACCTACATACTTATTTGAGAAGCAAATTTTGAAGCATTTGTAGTTTGATTGAAATTAAAATTTTCTAATAATTTATGTACATGAAACAAAATAAACTTATAGTGTTTAAAGTATAATAGAATGAAAACTTGTGAATCCACTACCAGGTTTGAAATAGTAAACATTTTTCAATACCTTTAAAGATTTCTTACCCATCTGAGAGGTTACTGTTATAATCAATTATTTCTTTACTATTTTCTTGCTTTCCTTTAGAATTTTACTCTTGCTCTCTATGTATATATATCTCTCTATATATATTGAAATATATACATATATTCAGAAGAACAATATGTTGTTTACTTTTGCATATTTGTGAAACTAACATGATTGAAACTTACTGTAGATCTTTTCAAAATGTTTTTACTTTCCATTATATGTGTGTAGCTATAATCTGTCCATTTTCATTGCTGTGTAGTATTCCACACAATAGAAGCATATGCTCTCTCTATGAGGTGATGATACAGCATTCTGCTTAATTTTTTAATGCAATGAATTTCATTTATAGATTTTCCAGTGTTAAACCAAATATACATTCTTGGAATAAGCCCAACATAGTCATTTTGGTGTGATCAATTTTGTACACTGCTGATATATGTGATTCTTGTCTTGTATTATGTTAATCTCATGTATTAGATATTGGCCTCATTTTATACCATCATTAATAAGACTTATTCATATGTTTATCATTTTCTTTGCTCAACATTTCTTCTTAATTTTCAGATCATTTTCTGACTTCCTGATATGCATCCTTTAAAAGTCTTTTATTTTTTTAGAGAGGGCCTAGTGATTGTAAGATTTTTCAGTTTGGGGTATCCAAAATATCTTTATTTTGTCCTCAATCTTAAACAAATAGTTTGTCTAGCTATAGAAACTTAGGTTAACAGTTACTTTCTCTAAACACCTTAAAGTTATTATTCCACTATTATGTGCCTTCCATTATTGCTATTGTGAAGTCAGCAAATAATATATTTTTGGTTAATTTATCCTTTCTTTTTGACTGCTTTTAAGAACTGCTCTGTCTTCAGCATTCTGTAGTTTCTCTATGATGTCTTTGGTGTAGATGTCTCTTGATCAATCTTGCTTGGAATATTTAGACTATCCAATTCTAGTGGTTTGTGACCTTCCTCAGTTCTAGAAAAGTCTTAGTCATATTTCTTTTATTTATTTATTTATTTATGTTACTATTTTAAAATTTATTTTACTTTAGGTGCATACTATATCTGCCCTTTCTCCCAATGTTATCCCTCCCCACTCTCCCCACCCCCTGCTGTCTCTCCCCTATCCTCCCAACTGTCCCCAATGTGTGATGCTCCTCTCCCTGAATCCAAATGTTCTCATTTCTGTTCTTGTGTCAGTTTTCTGAGAATGATGGTTTCCAGATTCATCCAAGTCCCTACAAAGGACGCAAACATCGTTTTTTTATGACTGCGTAGTATTCCATGGTGTATATGTACCACATTTCTTTGTCCAGTCTATCATTGATGGACATTTGGGTTGGTTCCAGGTCTTTGCTATTGTACACAGGGCTGCAATGAACATATGTGTGCATGTATCTTTATAGTAGAACGATTTATAGTTCTTTGGGTATATACCCAGTAGTGGGATTGCTGGGTCAAATGGAATTTCTATTTCTAGATCCTTGAGAAATGGCCACACTGTCTTCCGCAATGGTTGAACTAATTTACACTTCCACCAACTATTTCTTCACATCCTCTCCAGCATCTGTTGTCTCCAGATTTTTTAATGATCATCATTCTAACTGGCATGAGATGATATCTCAATGTCATTTTGATTTGCATGTCTCCAATGACCAGCGATGATAAGCATTTTTTCATATGTTTGTTGGCCTCATATATGTCCTCTTTTGAAAAGTATCTGTTCATATCCTTTGTCCACTTTTGAATGGGGTTGTTCGTTTTTTTCTTGTATATTTGTTTTAGTTCTTTGTAGATTCTAGATATTAGCCCTTTGTCAGATTGGTAGATAGCAAAAATTTTTTTTCCATTCTGTTGGTTACTGATTCAGTCTAATGATGGTTTCTTTTGCTGTACAGAAGCTCTGGAGTTTAATTAGATCCCATTTGTCTATCCTGGCTTTTATTGCCATTGCTTTTGGTGTTTTAGTCATGAAGTCCTTGCCTATGCCTATGTCGTAGATGGTTTTGCGTAAGTTTTCTTCTAGTGTTTTTATGGTGTTAGGTTTTATGTTTAAATCTTTGATCCATTGGAGTTAATTTTAGACAGGTAGGGGTCCAGTTTCTGCTTTCTGCACATTGCTAGCCTGTTTTCCCACCACCATTTATTAAACATGGAGTCCTTTCCCCATTGCTTGTTTTTATTGGGTTTGTCAAAGATCAGATGGTTGTAGATGTGTGGGTCCCTGTTCTGTTCCATTGGTCTATGTCTCTGTTTTGGTACCAGTACCCATGCTGTTTTGATTGCTGTAGCCTTGTAGTATAGTTTGAAGTCTGGCAGTGTGATGCCTCTGGCTTTGTTCTTTTTGCTTAGGATTGTCTTGGCAACGCGGGTCTTCTGTGATTCCATATGAAGTTTAAAGTGTTTTTTTCTAGTTCTGTGAAGAAGGTCGTTGGTAGCTTGATGGGGATAGTGTTGAATCTATAGATTACTTTGGGCAGTATGGCCATTTTCATGATATTGGTTCTTCCTAATCATGAGCATGGAAAGTTTATCCATCTGTTTGTGTCCTCTCTTACATCCTTTGTTAGTTGTATTCCTAGGTATTTTACTCTCTTTGTAGCAATTGTGAATGGGAGTTTGCTCTTGGTTTGGCTCTCTGTTTCTGTTATTAGTACATAGGAATGCTTGTGATTTCTGCACATTGATTTTGTATCCTGAGACTTTGCTGAAGTTGCTTATAAGTTTGAGAAGATTTGGGGCTGAGATGATGGGGTCTTCTAGATATACTATCGTGTCATCTGCAAATACAGTTTGATTTCTTTCTTTCCTTACTGAATACCCTTTATTTCTTTTTCTTGCCTGATTGCTCTGGCTAGAACTTCCAATACTATGTTGAATAGGAGTGGTGAGAGAAGGCATCCTTGACTAGAGCCTGATTTCAAAGGGAATTCTTCCAGCTTTTGCCTGTTCAGTATGATATTGGCTGTAGGTCTGTCATATATAACTTTTATCATTTTATGATATGTTCCATCAATACCTAGGTTATTGAGAATTTTTAGCATGAAGGGCTGTTGAATTTTATCGAAGGCCTTCTCTGCATCTGTTGAGATAATCATGTGGTTTTTGTCTTTGGTTCCGTTTACATGATGGATTACATTTATGGATTTGCATATGTTGAACCAGCCTTGCATCCCTGGGATGAAGCCTACTTGGTCGTGATGGATAAGCTTCTTTATGTGCTGTTGCAATCTGTTTGCCAGTATTTTATTGAAGATTTTTGCATCGATGTTCATCATGGATATTGGCCTGAAGTTTTCATTTTTAGTTCAGTCACTGCCTGGTTTTGGTATCAGGATGATGTTGGTCTCATAAAATGAGTTAGGGAGGATTCCCTCCTTTTGTATTGTTTGATACAGTTTCAGAAGGAATGGAACCAGCTCCTCTTTGTATGTCTGGCAGAATTAAGCTGTGAATCCATCTGGACCTGGACTTTTTTTTGGTTGGTAGGCTATTGATTGCTGCCTCTTGTTCAACCCTTGTTATTGGTCTGTTCAGGTTTTCAACTTCCTCTTGGTTTAGTCCTGGTACAGTACAAGTGTCTAGGAATTTGTTCATTTTTTCCTGGTTTACTGGTTTATGTGAGTAGAGCTGTTTCTAGTACTCTCTGATGGTAGTTTGTTTTTCTCTGGGATAAGTGGTGATATCGTTTTTTATTGCATCTATTTGATTATTCTCTCTTTTCTATTAATCTAG